TGAACTAAGGCTAGTCTTCTGCTTGGGATCTGTGACTGGAGACCAGCTCTGGTAGAGACTAGCAGTGTGATCTTGTCTAGGTACCAATGCTTCAAACTCCATCCACTGTAGTGGGCCTTTCCCATGCCTCAACACCCAAGAACACAAGTACACTTGTTTATCTCCTCTAGTAACTCATGATGTTAGATGGACTTCTCCTTGATGAAAGTGTCAATGCAGAAATTAGAAGGAAAGCAGAGACCCAAATCAATCCATTACTTCAAGAATCAGCTCAAGTCCTGTGTTTCTTAGGTGGATGGAATTGCTTTTTTCCTTTGGCTGAAATGGTTAGGCCATGATCTCTCTCTTCATACTCCTCCAATGAGATCTACACGGGAGCTACAGCTTGGACAAAGTCCTCAATTTCTTCCCAGCTCCATCTTTACAAGGGGTCTTCAGAGACTTCAAATCTGTGTTTTGGACTCCAGCCCTACCTGTACTTTGATCTGTCACACAAGGACTCTAGGCACTGGTAGAAGAGAGAAGCCTCCACCCCATCCAGCGTGCTGCAGTCGTGCGGGGGCTGGCGCTGCCGGTGCTGCCCAGAGGATGACGTTGGCACAATCACAGTGTTTGGATTCTTACCAGCCAGTAGGTCTTGATAAATGGCAGCCACGCTTTCCAGGAACTCTGGAAAAAAAAAAAAACAACCAGAAAACAACTTAAAACCCAGGGCCACAACCAGCAAAGCATCCTCCTGAGCTACCAGACCTGGGATTCGAGTGCCAGTCCCTGCTTGGTGTTGTACACAGCCCCAGCAGGTACTAGTTCTAGCTTCTGCCTGTCAGGATGATTAAGACAGGGCCACTCTGGGATGATGAGAGGCCACTCACTCTGTTGAACAAGGTTCTTCTCAAGGGACCAGAGGCTAGCTGGCACATGGATAAGCAGTGGAGCGTGAAAGCTAATGTTGAACACAAAGCTAGTCTGCAAAGTCTAAAAAGTTTTCCTTCTCCATCTCTTGCCACTGATTAAGAACTCATCCAAGTTGGGAACAAACCATATGGAACAGCAACAGGAGGAAAGGGAGCAAGTTAGTCAGGGCTCCAGGCTGTATCCCAGCTCATCTCTGTGCTGCTCCAAAGTAAATACAACGCGGGATCTAGAGGAAGGGCCAGGGCAGGTCAGGGCTAGAGCTGGCAGAAAGCCTCTCCCCAGGCTCCTCATACTACCCACTGTTTACTGCAGGAGTCTAATTTTAAACAAGTTTGTTTATGGATGTGGTCGGCAGTTTACAAATCTAGATTCCACTTGGAGTGGTTTGCATGCGTGTGGGTTGGTGGGAGAGCGTATGGCAGGCTGTGTGGCTGTTGTTCCTGGGGGAGCAGGACAGGGATGGGGTTTTGGGGGGGTGTGTGTGCACATGGATGAGCTTGGGAGGACTCCAGTGGCATTTCAGTCCCTCGTGGATGGAAGCGTAATGCTGCCTGTGAGCTGGGTGGAAAGGCAGGAGGTCAGTGGGACCTGAGGCTGTGCTGAGGTTCTGCAGCTCAGTGGAAGTGTTTGTTGTATGAGAGAAAACCTTTCCAAACACATTTGCTGTCCCTGGCTAAAGGCATTACAAGCCTGGTTCTGCAGAACCTAAAAATCACCATTTTGAACTGGTTTTCTCTGCTGAGTTGTCATAGATAATGTTGTGATATTCACAGGGGAGTTATGGGCTAAGTATATACAGAGAAGTCCTGAGAAAAAGGTATTTTTTTGTATTGAGGATAGCAGCTGCCTCTTAACTGCTAGGAAGATGGGAACTGACAGTTTGGATCAGATCAGCAGGCTATCCAAGGCTGCTCTCTGACCACAGACTGTGCTCCACTCACTTCTAGCCAGTGTCTCCCAGTATCCAAACCTGTCCCCCTTTTTCCTGGTCGATGCCAGCTGAGCTACCTCCATCAGAGGGAGCTATTTAAGTGTGAGTGGACAGAAATCCATGAGCTCTTGTTGCCTTTAGAAAGTGGCCTGTGCTGGCAGAGGAGTAAGTGGCACCCCAGCAGTCCCCAGTGCTTGGGAACACACCTAACTTTGATAAAGGAAATGCTTCCCTCATTTTGTCCCCTTCAGCAGTTGCCCAAATGAGATTCCCTTTCCTCAACCACATCTTAGGGGGAGTAACAGGCCAATGGATTTTAAAGCAGCCTCCTTGTACAGAATAACCATCTGAATGTTCATCCAAGTTTTTCCTCCCTCTCTCTGAACTTCAGTCTAAACACACACACAAACTAATATTATTCCCTTTGTACTTTTCCTGTCAAGAGTTTTAAAAGAAGTATTCCATCTAGTTAAAACTCAGTCTGGGGGAGAGGGGTAAAATATAATAAATGACCAACAATAGGAAGAAGGGAGATGGGGATTAGCTGTTCACTTCCCCTTCCAACTAAGGGCTCTCAAATCAAACAAGAGAGGTGGTTCTTCGTGGGACAGGTGGCAGACCTGTGCAAATCCTTGGTGGAGGGTACAAGTTTATGTGATTTCCAGGAGAAAATCTTGGGAGAGAAGTCTACTGCAGGTTCCTAAACCCATGGAAACTATACCCAGTTTGGAAAGTCTTTGAGCTTAAACCAGCACATAGTTGGGCAAGGGTTAGGGGGAAGAATTGTATCCTATTTGTCCAGTTCCTTTCCTTTCAAGGCACCATCTGGGGGACTTTTCTTACCCTGTCTCCAGCAGAGACCAATCCTTTGGAGACAGAAATGTTGTATTAAGGAAAAATAAATGTTCCTCCTAAAAGTTAATTGTTAGGTGCTAACATACTCTAGATAAAGCTGTAAATTTGTGTCTCAAGGCTAAGACAAACACATGCATAAGCCATAACAGTGACAGGTATCTTGTTATTCACAAAAATTTTGAATCTCCTTATGAGGCCTCCTAATCTCTTGGCATCAGTGATGTCTTTGATCAGTAGATTCCACCAATCATATATTTTCAGTGAAAAACCACATCCTTACAAGTTTCAGTAAAGTACAGGGATTGGGAAGCTGTAAGGCTGTGATGCTGCACTAGTGGGTGAAGGCCAGAGCTTCTCAGCATTTACCTGAGTAGTAGAACTGGATCTGGAAGGCAAAGAGGAAATCAGAAAAGGACATCAGGCAATCCATAGCATCATCCATTAGCACAATCCTAGGAGAAGATGAGAGAAACAGTTTAGCATCTACAGAAGAACTGAAGTATGGCATAAAAACTGCAAGGCTGGGTCACAGGGCTACCCAAAGAGTAACTGTGCTGCAGACAAGACAATTACATGAGTATTAAATTGGTGTAAGCAGGATGAGACTTGGGCTATTCCTCTCTGTACCAGAGTTCAAACTGGGATATTTTCAGGTTTATAAGAATAACAACAGTTATTCATTCCCAATCTACACTCAAACAAACTCCACTTGACTCCAGACAAAATAACCTTGCACCAACAACCAGCTTTCTAATTACACTCTGTGAACATCCTATCCTCCCTCCCTGTTGAATGAATCAGTCTCTTTTCCTATCTGTTAGGTCTATCATTTGACTATTGGGTCGAATTTCATGGAAACTGAAGACTTCTTGGGCCAGGGACAATGTTGTCTTTCTCTTTGCTAAGCCCCAGGTGCATATAGGGAGCTATATACAGCCCTGGTTTGAAGCATACTTCATGAATATGGAAAGCATCAGCCACAGGCCATAAAGATTAAGTGATAGCAAAGTCCAGTTCCTCCTGTCAGTAAAAACCTCTGGATTTCAGAAGTAAGTTAGGGTAAAAATGTTCATCAAAATGCAAACAAAACCAATGCTCTGGTCACTGTCACTACATAGGGTTGAAAAGGTCAGTCTCTAAAATGGGGAAAAAATCAAACTCGGGCTGAAGAATGACAGCTCAGACTGGAAAACAGAAGGAAACTCTCCACTTTGATGGGAAAAAATGGAGCATTTGGACAATGCTAAAGAAAGGTAGCTGGTACTTTGTTTCAACTGGGTGCAGCTGTAGTGACCCTGTACAGGGAGTACCTGGCCTGTCACATCACAGGAGAAGAGCTGCTCATTCATTACAGCCAAAGTATGGGTCATCTGGTAGGACCCTTTTGAACAGGAGGCCAAATGCAATCCACGGATCAACTCCTGCAGCCTGAATGGTCTAAACACATTGCTGGGGAAACACTGTTCTCTCTCATGTAAAACACTCCAGGGAACTGTGTGGGAGGCTGACCTAGAAGAGCTACAGGAGCTTGCAAGACTTCTCTGCCATTCAGACCAGTTCTGTTCAGTGTGGCAAAATCAAACATGTAGAGCAGCTTGAATTAATTATCTCAAAGAATAAAGACTGGGGCTAAAAGGGTCCCCAGGAGAAAAGCCAGTATTTAAAACAAAACCCTTTGAAGATGTCAAAGTGCTTCTGATTTATTTATTATGTTCCAGAAGCCTCCTCCTCCTCCTGTCTAAAGAAGCAGTAGCTTCAGTTCTTAATTCTCACTAATAAGCATGTTACTGAGATTGTCAGTGGCCACATCAAGGAAATGGCTTTGAAGCTGGCAGGCAGAGCATCTTCATCTCAGGCACTACTGCTCAGCCACTGGCATTTCCAACCACTATTTAAGCACTGGAAATGCTGATGAGCTGCACTCCCTCCTTTGAAATGATGGTCTGTCGCCCAGATACCCTCAAAGCACAAGCTCCAAAACTTTTGCCAGTGCATTTCTCCATCCTGGAGGTACAGAAAAGCAGTGGAGAGGGTTTTTTTTATATATATTGGTTATGTCCAGAGACAATATTATATCACCTTCATGACAATCAACTCATCTCACTTGTTAAACCTAAAGCTCTGCTCACTGGCTGTGCTCTGCAGCGCCAAGTCCCAGCCTCTTAGAGGAGAGCATTAGGAAGCAGGCAGAGGTCTGAGAATTTGCTGGGCTTTTTTTTGCTCTTAAAAGACAGCAAGGAGCCTCTAAGGAAGCCTGCATGGCACATGTGACGGGGGAGCATTTAAACAGAAGCAGGTGCACTCTGGTGCTGGGTTACTGACTCCTCTTGGCCCAGGAGTCTGCGCTCCGGAAATGTTGAGAAGTCTTTAAATCCAATACAATCATTTCTGAGGAGATTGACTGCAGCTGCCTATTGCCTCACACGGCCAGCTGACTGAACAGGGAGGGAAGCTGGGACAGCATCATATACAACATACCTCCACCTCTTCCCTGGAATACCTGGCAAAGAGAGAATTCTAGCCACGGGCTGTAATCCAGGCAGCAGGACCAAAATTGGGGATGAAATCTCAAAGTCTGAACTGCAACTCAAAAGATTTCATCAGGTAGCTGATATTTCATGGGATCCTTTATTCATCCCTTCTTGTCCAAATTAGACTTTAAGCCCTCAGGGGCACAGACGGATTTACAAAATGAGTAGTCAGCTTTCAATGAATAATGAAAATCAAAGGAGAAACTTTGGAAAGGACTGAAGAAAGATGCCTACACTTGAGGGACTCTGGTAAAGGGTGTAATGGCCTTTTAGGGCTCAGGTGGGTTGGGCTGGCAGGAAAGCCTTTCTGCTGTGCCAGTGGGGAAACTTTATGATCCACTGATTGCGGTTAAAATCCCAGAAACCCAGACTAGACAGGATGTCCCCAGGACAAACTCTAGACCAGGCAAGTTAAAAGGACTTTTACTGTTCTCTGCTACTATTAAAAGCTCACTGACATGATCCACCTTAAGGCCTGGCTCACTCAACTGAGTCTTCAGGGACTTGGTTTGTTTACTGATAAGTGGAGGCAAAAATAAGTGGAACAAAAAGGGCAAGTTCTGCATTCTCAGGTGGGCTTGTGACAAGAGGGGCACAGACTTGCAAGCCCCACTTCCATTAGCACTGCTCAGTGCCCATACCACATAAAGCAGCACAGGAGCTGTGAACTGTTCATCTCACTACTGAAATGTGGGCAGCAGTTCCTTGTGTTTCTGTTACAAGAGAAAAGTCAATGCTCTGCTACAGATCTTGAAGTCATGGCATCAAACCAGAAACATCCCTTCATCTTCTGTCCTGCAGTTTCAAGATCCAGAAAGCCAAAAGTTATCTTTGAAAATCAAAGGTATCTTTATAGATTGAAATCTTCAATCTAATGGCTATAACCCTTTGAAGAAAATAAACACCCAAGAAATCTCACAGGTACAGGTAGCCTGTTTTTTTTTTTTGGGTATGACTTCTGCATTTGTGTGGCACCAGGAACAGAAAAATGGAGCTCTCTAGTGTCATGCAAATAAAACCTCTATTGCTGTAGCCTCTGTTCTTCTGCTCTGACATTTGCTGACCTTATTCCCATTGTTTGTTATCAGTGCATAGCAACAGCTCCTGGACGAGTGGAGTGCACCATACTGTGAGATCATCTCAGTTATCCAGCACTGAGACTACAGCTAGGGCTGCTCCTCCCAAGAGTGCCAAGAATTACACAGGTCCTGGCTATCAGTGAACGCTGTGGCTACTCCTGTCACTACTTTATTTAATTCCCTTCCTAAGCCAATTAGCAACAAAACCACTGGGGGCGTGCAGGCTGAAGGAAGAACAATGTCAGGAGGTTTGCATGGGACACTCATCCTTTGCAAGGACTCAGGACAGCCTGCAGAGTTCACCTTTCCAACGGGCAGAAACAAAGCAGGACAAGGCGAAGGGTAGACCAGAAAAAGGACAGAAGAGCAAGCAACAGTTGGAAGAGAAAGATGGTTTAGAAATATGAGTAGTTTTACTGAAATTGTTCAACTAGATTAGCTTGTAACAGACTAATAGCCACGTGGAAGTAAATCTCTAGCCAGCCAAAAGCAGGAGTGAGGTCATCCCCACCTGAGCCTGGATGCCTCTGTCAGAGATTTCATTGCTCTCCAGCACCTGCTCCCCAAGCTGGCTCGTCTCTCTCCCCAGCACATGCACAGCCGTGCAGCAGGCCCCTGAATGGGGCCTCTAGTTTACAGCAGCCTTGTGGATTAAATTCCTTGACACAAACATCATAATGTGTAGATGTGCTGAAGTCTCCTTTCATGCAGCGTCACAAATTCCTGCTCAGCTCAGCTGGAACCCTGTGAAACACACATCAGCACACGGGACCTGTGCTGGTGTAGCTCCATGAAAGGAAGCAGCAGATATATCCTGGGGTCAGCATTCTGAACAGCCAACTTCTAGTTTTAATTGAACCAACACAGCTCAAACTACAGTTCCATTCGGATAGCAGCGCATAGGAGCCAGGGAAGAATTCCAAGTGGAAGTACTAGCAGATGGATAACACTTCTCTTGGTCACATTTCTTTCCTAACACAGTTTTCATGGGACTCTGATGCTAAAGAAAGATAACAGAATGACAAATAGGAAATGAGGAGCTTTTCCATGATTTAGGCCACAAACAACTTAGGCAGCAGCTAATATCCTGATCATGTGTCTGGATCCTGTTTCCAAATGTCCTAAGCCCATGAAAAAAAGTTACATTTCCATGCCCTCTGTGCTGAGGTGGCTAGAAATGAGAGCATTGACTCAGAAAACTTGCTGTGACTGTGCCATGTGTGTGTCTGTGTGCACCCAAACTGAGATCTGAACTGAGCCCCTGCCCCACCAGCTGCATAAACCTTATTACATTTGCACTATCAGATAGTTAATAATCAACTGCCTGGGCTGGACTGGAACCAACAAGCACTATCAGTAAAAAAATTCCATATCACATTATCAGTGCCCTGAGCCATCTATCTACTCTAGGCCTTGTCTAGATTTAAATAAAATTTCAAACAGATTAGCTACCATGTTCTTAGATAACATATTTTAAACACTGGCAATCCTTCAGAGGTTAGTACCTGTTAAATGGGATCGACCATAGGAATCTGGGGTGAGGGAACACATTTTAAAGATGGTAAACAGTATTTGAAATAGAGTCTAAAATCATGACAGTTAAAAAAACATGTAGGATAATATTCTTTTATAAGCAACTCACCTTCTGAACGTAGAATCACCAGCAGCAGCATTCTGCAGTGACATTTGTGTGACTTATATCTACACCCTTTCCCATTGCTAGAAGAAAAACCTGTTCTTAACCTCAAAACATGGTATCTCTTTGCCCCCAAATCTTAAAAGCTGAAGGCCCCTGTCCATACCTTTATGGACTCATGGATCTCGTTCCTAAGACCACGTGTGTAGGACTAATCTTGCCTTAAATGAGGGGATGAGGACCCACCTTGCAGCTTTCTGAGTGAGTTCCATGGGGAAGTCAGGGCAGAGCAGCTGCAGCAGGCAGTGGTATTCCTGTGCTGTCAGCAAATCTGCAGGAAAAGAGAGGTGAGAACATTGTAATTCTTTTACAGGCTGTTCCTTCTCCTTGCTTCCTCTCTAGGAAAAAAAAAAACCCTCTTATTACCATCTATTCTCAATTCAAGTAGACTGGGTACTAATATCAATATAACTGCTCTCTAGACCTTCAGAGCTGGGCTCTTCAGATGGAGTTTCCAGCAAAGAACACCAGAGAGAGGGCTGATAAAGGGGGAATCCTATCAAAGAGGCTCCTGTGGTAAAAGGTAATGATTCAGTGTGAAAAAGAGGTAACCAAAACAGGGCAGTTTCAAGTGAGAACACAGTTTGGTTTGACTTGAATATAACCATGGAGAAAAAGGAATCATTTCAAAGTTGCTTAAATTTGCTAAAATTCACTGGCATGGTGACATTCACCACAATATGCCTGAAAACTGTCCACAGAACATCTGGCAGCAGTAACAAAGACAAACAAGGGGTTTGGGTTGTGTATGGAAGGCTACAGAGTATAAACCACAGACGTTATTACTCTGGCATTCGGTGAGGCAGCTGGATGGTCTCTTCTGGAATAACGTGTACAAATCTGGTCAGTGGATTATAGGAAGCACAGGATGAAGATCCAAAAAACACATGAAATCCAATCAAATTATTCATGTTTTAGAGAGCAGCTTTGTGAAAGACTGGTCAAGAAAGGCCTCTGTGGTTCAG